ATAGAATATAGAATATAGAATATAGAATATAGAATATAGAATATAGAATATAGAATATAGAATATAGAATATAGAATATAGAATATAGAACAGAACAGAACAGAACAGAATAGAATAGAATAGAATAGAATTCTTTATTGGCCAAGTGTGATTGGACACACAAGGAATTTGTCTTGGTGCAAATGCTCTCAGTGTATATAAAAGAAAAGATACATTCGTCAAGAGTCAAGAATCATCAAGTCCAACACTTAATAAGTTATAGGATACAATAAGCAATCAAATCATATTAGGAAAGAGTCCATACAAATCGTAAGAATACAAGCGACAAAGTTACAGCCATACAGTCACAAGTGGGAAGGGATGGGTGATAAGGTGTGATGAGATTAATAGTGATAGTAATGCAGACTTTGTAAATAGTTGGACAGTGTTGAGGGAATTATTTGTTTAGCAGAGTGATGGCGTTCTGGAAAAACGTGTCCTTGTGTCTAGTTGTTCTGGTGTGCAGGGCTCTATAGCGTCGTTTTGAGGGAAGGAGTTGAAACGGTTGATGTCCAGGATGTGAGGGGTCTGTAAATATTTTCACAGCCCTCTTTTTGGCTCATGTAGGATACAGGCCCTCCATGGAAGGCAGGTTGGTAGCAATTGTTTTTTTTCTGCAGTCCGAATTACTCTCTGAAGTCTGTGTCTGTCTTGCTGGGTTGCAGAACCAAACCAGACAGTTATAGAGGTGCAGATGACAGACTCAATAATTCCTCTGTAGATCCAGTCAAAACTATTTGGTACAGTTTGTGCAAATAGCAATAAAGCCATTCTCCAATGTAAAAAGATTAAAAAAAATATTAAGTCATAGGTTTAAAATTGTGGAAGAACAATAGCTGGTTGGAGAAGAAAGAGGAAGAAAATTTACAGCTAATCTCTTCATTGATGTGATCTGGATTTATAACTGCGTTGGATTTAATCCAGAAGTGCTTTTGTACATTTATTTATGCTTCACTGTTTTGGGGAAAGAATACCTTTTTCTTCTCATATGAATTCCAATAAATCACTAAAGAGATATCCATTCCCATGTCAAGGTAAATAAATAAACTCTTAAAAAAATACTTCGTGAAATGAGAAAAGAAACAGCAATTACAGCTTCAAGCTTTAGCCTTGAGAAAGAAGTTAGTGGAGTGGAAAGATTCTGGCATGGAGTTATCTGGCCAATTGGAAGAATTACAGCTTTATTGAGATCTTCTCTGCACTCACTCAGGATCAACTCTAAGATTCCTTGGGAAAAGGAAGATCCCAAGATGGAGAAGGCACGACCAAGGTGGAAGCTGTATACTTTGGACTTCTCCAGAAACAAGTACCTTCCAGGTCTCTTGGGCAAGGGTCTTCCAACTTGGCAACTTTAAGACTTGTGGACTTCAAGACTTCATGGCTGGCTGAGGAATTCTGGGAATTGAAGTCCCAGACTTCAAGTTGAAGTCTTAAAGTTTCTAAGTTGGGGGAGCTCTGCTCTTGGGGAAGGAGAATTTCCTGCTGAAATCCCTTTCAGTAAAACTAGAGATTATCACCAACTATCAGTGGGACGGTGTGCCCTTGAACATCCTTAGTGACCAGGGGAATGTGTGAACTAGATGTGTCTCATTGCAGGCTTCCCGGCTTCCCATTGAAGTCAATCCCAAAGGAAGAAAATCCAGGGGAACTTCTTTCACTGATTTTTTTCCCCCCAGATTGGGAAATGGAGCAACCAAGCCAGATTTGGAAAGATGGACTGGACCAAAGACCAGTGGCATCTTTAAAAAAAATCACCATTCAATGGGGTCAAAAGCTTTCATGCACCAACATGAAAGCTCCAACAAACAAGAAAGTCAATTTCAAAACAGTAAGAAGAATTTCAAAAGAAATTGGCACACAACCGAGGGAAAAAGTTAGAAAAACAGGTGCCTTTTGAAGGCTCTCCAGAAACTACAGTATGAATATGTACTGCTATTTGTGTAATACAATTCTTTCTTTTTTTTTTTTAGACTAGCGTGACCAAAGATTGGACTTCAATCATCTATGGAGGAAGTTTCCCCCTCCCTCTATGCGAAGCTGTTCTGCTTCGCCTGAGCAAACTCTGATTAAACTGGATGAAAATACCCAACCTTACCCGATCACTCCATTCCGTAAGGAACCAGCTCTTGGCACAGGGTCCCATATCACAATTCTCAATGTCATTGGGCCGTAGCTTCATGTTACACTCCTCATCATCGACAACATCTCCAAGGTTGCTGACACATTTTACATCCCGAGTCCTCTGGCCAACTCCGCATGGAACTGAACACTAGAACAAGAACAAATGTTTGGGTCAAGCGGACACAAAAACTCATGGATCAAAAGGTTGCCTTCAAGCTACCCTGCTATCACACCAGGCTGCCAAAGGGTCATATTTTAGCCATGCCCTTGTGATGATCCCACTACGCAACCAAGACATCCTGGTTGGAGGGGGCACTATCTCAAAACTAATGTCTTTTGGAAGACCTCAACTGTTTTTTCAAGGGTGGTGTGGTGCCGATGGAAACCTTCCACCCTTGGCTTGAAATGCAGCCTGTGAATTTCCTTTGATAATCAAAGCAAACCAAGATCTCTCTCCATCTCACAAGATGGCCAGAAGCTTCTCCTCCCATTCAGCTTTCAAGGAGGCTATCCTTTCAGCCTCCCTGGTCTTGTGAATGGTCTTGTTTACCCTGTCTAAGGATTGACCCGGCCTCTTCAGAAAGAGCTACCCAAAATAAGCAGTGGGTTGTGCCAATGTCCCTCTAACGCTTGCCAGTGTTGTTTGGCTTTGAATCATTCCTGTTTACCGATGTCCATTCTGTCCGAATTTGCCATTCACTGCAGATCTTCAGTTGGCACGTACTTGTCCTCTCTGGTTTCTCCAAGTGTTGGCATCGGTGCAGCTGAACCGTTAAGCTGCGGTTGGCATAGACTTGCCGGCAGAGAACTTGGCGGTGCTGCATCCCCAGGCCGCAGGATTTGCTGCATTCGGACCACTCTCCTAAATCCCAGCTAGGAAATAAGAAAGTGCAAGAAATCGGTGTCGTTCTATAAATCTGGACTTTTGCCCAAAAGTCTTTGTGGATTGCCTTGCACACTAGCCGAGCACAGAAAATTGAAACCTCTGAAAAGTGGTGGAAATTAGCAACTACATCACAATTGGGAGTGAATTTCTCCTCTGTTCTGACCAGTAAATTTCAGCACAAATACAAATTTTCTCTTCCTTTCCAGGAAATATGAATTGGGGTCCTTGGTGGTCTCGGAGCTTGTTTTCTTGCAGATATGTTGTTACCCAATTAGGTAACATCTTCAGTGCTCTGATGGTGTTGACAATGCTCTAAGGATGATGATGATATCAGGTACCTGTGATGTTACCTGGTTGGGTAATGAAATGTCTGCAAGAAAACAACCCAGCTCAGAGAGCACCAAAGGCTCCATTGTTCTCCACCTTCTCCTTCTCCTCTTTCTCTTTCTCTCTCCTCCTCCTCCTCCTCCTCCCAAACTCCCACTCCCTTCTGGCACTGATGAAGTTACCTAGTTGGGTCATGAAACCTTAGCAAGAAAACAATCAAGGTCAGAAAGCACAAAGGACCCCACTGTCCTCCTCTCCTCCTCCTCCTCATCTCTGCA